CAGGCGCCCGTGTTGAGGAACGCGTGGCAAAGCGGCGCCGTCGCCTCCGCTTCCTCTCTGCCCACACCGCCCGCCGAGGCTCCTCCTTCGCCTCCTCCTCCGCCTCCTCCCGCCGCCCGCAGCCCCTCCCGGGCCCGCTCCGCCACTCGCTCGCCCGAGGCCGGCGGCGGAGAGACATGCTTCGCCAGCCGCTCTCGCAAGGTGCTCCACGTGCCGACACCGGCGGCGGCGGCGGCGGCGGCGGCGGCGTACAGCTCGCGGCTTTTGACGAGGAAGAGCCTGTTCACAGCAGCCGGCCGCTGTGAAGAGACGCCGTCCGCCGCGCGTGCGGCTCGGTGGCGCTTGTCTGGGAGCAGACTTTCAAGTGTTACTCACAGGATAGAGCTGTATGAGTGAAGAGTGGCGCCTGGGTGGCTTGATGCCTACTGGCCAATGGCTAGCAACTAATCACTCTTAGAGGGGCGCCCCTCTGACTACTGCACTTTGTCCGTGGAGATGCCTCTCCCTGAGAACGCACAAAACGCCTCGTGTGCAATACCACTGGCTGGCTGGCTGGCTAGAGGCGCCTGGGTGGCCGGCTCGACGTGGCGTCGGTCAGGGCGCAGAGCGTGCGAAAGACAGAGGGCAGGTCACGGTCCCCGCCTAGAAAGGGCATCTCGCGGCATGTCGCGGCAACTCGCTGTCGCGCGGTGCGAGAAATCGCGGCTAGTCCACGCCAATATCGAGCAGCACCACCGAAGGCCGAACGGACTGCGCGGCCGCCTGGAGCTGCGCTGGGTAGCGAAGCGCGTCGAGCAGGCGGAGGGAGAGGCGTCCGGTCGAGAGGTGCGGCGCGAGTCGCTCCGAGCCGCGAGCGGAGCGGAGGCACTCGATCGATGAGTCGAGCCCGAGCACAGACGCCGCGCCCGCGGCGAGAAGGGATGCGGTCGCCTGCAGACGTTTGGCGGCACCAACGGTGGGTCGCTGGCCGGAGTGTGACCAGAGCGTGCAGTGATGGCGACCACCTCTCCGTACGAGCAGCCAACCTCGAGCACGATAGCGCCTGCTGCCGCCTCTCGAGCACGACAGCGGAAAGCTGGTGTCTCGGGCACGACGAGCAGCATTGGCACCGAGCCGGCTTCGTGCGCGAGGCGATCGAGCGCGAGGCGAACAGTCATCAAATTCGTCGACGATGATAGAGGGGGCACGACCAGGGGGCTGGCGCGGCCGGAACGCCTGAGGCCGGGAGCACGAGTTTCTTTTTCTGCGATTTCGCTTTTGGCCTTCGATGTAGGAATCCTAATGAAACAAACGCAAGGCGGGCATGGCATATCGCTCTCGGGCCCTGAAAAAGGAATTTTTTCTGATGGCAGGAGCCCGCCGACTTGTCGCCGATTTAGTGGCACCCCCAGCTGGCCCACATCGCCACCGGAGCACGCCGACTAGTGGTGCAAGCTGCCAGGCCTTCGATGCACGGAAACACATCGAATGCCTCTCCGGCACGAACGTACGGTCCCATCCTTGGCTGCTGCGCGTATGCGACCTTCGTGGGCGATGGTGCGGAGTACGCGTGCGCCGCTCGCGTGTGGGCGCAGAGTGTGCTGGAGACGGGCACCGCCCACCCGGTGGTCATCGTAGCCACGACTCAGATGCACGGCGGGCTGGGCAACCTGTCCGGGCAGGTACGACTTGCGCACTACCCGCCCGCACCCTCGCGCGGCAAGCACAACTTCGCCGTCACCTTCGGTAAGCTGTGGGCGGGCCAACTACCGTACGCGCGCGTCGTCTACGTGGACGCGGACACCCTGGTGCTGCGCAGCCTCGACCACCTCTTCGCGCTCGGACCGAAGGTGGCCCTCGGCGCGCCGCGAGCCTACTGGCTGCCGCAGCCCTTCTTCCAGAGCGGAGGACCCATGCTCATCAACACGAGCAGCAAGCGCTTTAGCGGCGCGCTGCGGCAACAGCTACCTCCCCGCTACGCGGGGGAGATGGATTGGCTCAACGAGGTGTACGGCCACTCGCCACACTTCTCATGGGACGCCGTCGCCGGCGAGTACGCGATGCTCATCGGCGAGTACATCCCCTCCGACCGAATCTACCTCTACTGGACGCGCAGGCACCGCTAGTTATCACCCCTGCTATGCTCACTAAGCACCGCGCAGCTCACGGGGAGGCGATCCCCGCCGCTAGTTATCAGACCCCTGCTGTGCTCACTAGGCACCGCGCAGCTCACGGCGAGGGTACCCCCTTCGCACCGCGCGCCGTCCACTTCATTGCGGGATGGAAGCCGTGGCGCTGGCCCCCTGCGCGCCTGCGCAGCGCACACGCGGGCGCGCCGAGCAAGTTGCACACGCTCTACGCACAATGGTGGCGTCATGCACGGCGGCACTGCCCCGCCCTCGGCCGACCGGGACCGCCCCGGCTCATCCCCCCTCCGCCCCGGGCTACCTCCCCGCGCCGCACCGCGCACGAGGGGCAGAGGCCCAGCGCCAAAGGGGAGGTAACCCGCGGGCAGAGGGGCAAGGCCACCGGGCCCATGGCCGTAGACAGTTAAAAGTGTCCACGTGTGCATTTCTGTTTTTCAATGCTATCGAGCGCAAACAAATAACAATCGCTCCAGAATTAGGGGGGGATATGGTGATTTTTGAATGAACGCCTCGCGCAAAACCACCGCTACCATGCCACAGAAGACCCTTGTGGGCTATCCAGAACACCTAAGATCATGCCTAGCTCTAACGTGGGCCCGAGATATGCCAGCTTAACCCCGGATTTTTTCCGGCAGGCTCCGCCGCACTGTGATATGAGCGTCGGCAGGACCCTTTGAAATCATGAATGGCGGCGTCTGGAGAGGCCCCCACGGCCGGGGGCGGTAAGTGGGTGATAGGAGGGTGATAAACGACCATAACACCGGCCATCGGACCCCTCCACCCCCCCCAAACACAGTCCAAACCGGCCCCGGCGGCCGCCGTGCAGGAGGCCGCCGGGGCGCACCAAACGGCCCTTCACGACCGCCACGCGGGCCACCACGGCCCGTCCCGGTGGCACGGGTGCCGCCGCGCACCCGCCCGACGCCCCCGGCCCGCCAGCTCCCGCTCCAGGAGACTTCATCTCCGCCAGCGAGCCGCAGCGCGCCCCCCTTTCGCGCACCGCGGCCGCACGCCCAAGAAGTGGCCGAAGGGCGACCTACGCGGCACTAAAATCACGACTAGAAGCGCCGCCCGCCAGCAGGCAGCTTGCCCGCCGCCCGCCGCGCGCCGCCGCAGCCCCCGGCCGGAAGGGTGGGTCGGCGGCACCTTTGGCGAGGCGGCGGCCCGGGTGGCAGTGGCGAGGGCGACGGTCCGGGTGGGCGGGAGGCGGCCGCCAACGGTGGCGGTGGCGGCCGGCCCATCGGCGGCGGGCGGCGCAGCGGTTGGGGCGGCAGCGGGGCAACGCTGCGAGGTGGTAAGGGAGGGGGGGGGGGGGGGGGCTCGCCTGCGCCCTCGACCCGCGAGAGCCGGTGCCGTCCTGCCCTCTCGAACACGCGACGGGGGGCGCCCTCCTGCCGCAAGCGGCGGCTGGCCGCCACCTCAAAGGAGCCTCTGGCACGCAAACACGCTCGCCTGAAGGGGGGGGCGGTGCAGGGGGGAGAAGATGAGGGCGTCACCGAGCGGGTGGTGCTGCCGGGAAGTTGGCGGGCGGGGCGTGGATGCACCTAAAAATACGATCGAGTAGCGGGAAGACCGCCCGCTACTCCGGCGGGAGAGTGCTCCCCCGCCGCCCCCTGGGTCACCCCGAGTGACCTCGCAGCCCACGCCGTGAGGCGCTGCTGTCAGGGGGAAAGTTGGGGCGCGTGCGAAGCCGCTGGGAAAAGATGGCCAGGAGCGCAGGAGCGGCCGGAGCCGGCGGGCGCCGCCGCCGTCGCCCAGCTGGCCCGCTCTGCAAGCAGCCCGTTCCTGGGTCTCATTGGGGCTGGGTTCGAAGAGGATCACGAGGAGGGCGATGACGAGCACCTACGTGTCGCTGGCGTGGTCGTTGCCGGACTCGACGAACCTCTCGCCCGTGGAGGTGATGGCAGGCAGAAGTTTTTCTCCTGCGCAGGTGCGCGAGCGAGCGTCAGCGCGCCGAGGGCCATAACGTGAGAGAACGTGATCTGTGGCCGCGCGCACCGGGTCGGCCAGAAAGAGCATCGCCGAGGGAAGCGACGAGCGCTCGGGGAGCACGGGGGAGCGCCGCGTCCGAGCCCCAGGTCTGCCCAAGTACCTATCCACCATCCTGGACATGTTCAGGTCCAAGCTGCCATGGCCGACTCGGGGTACCCCGCGCGACCCGGGCGACTCGATGGCCGCCTCCGCGGCGGCGGCGTCCGGCGCGCCCGGCTGCAGCTCCATCGCCAGGGCCAAGCAGTCCGGGCCCTGAGGGCCCCAAGCAGTGCAAACATCCATCGCTTCCATGCTTCGAGGAGCGATCTACCGGTTGTCACCGTCATCATAGACGCCGAACGAAAACGCCTCTCAAACGCCTCGAGATTCAGTTTGGGTTTGGGGCTTGGAAAATCAATGTTTTAGTGGACCATATCCCCCCCTAGACAGTAGACTCCAGTGCTTGCACCAGGCTTGCACAGAGTTTGAATGCCGTGGGGCTCCTTCCCGTGTCCCGGGGTGTGGAGATGCGAGGGTCTTCCCCCCTTGCCCCACCACTTTGTGTGTGTGGTCCAAGATAATTTATCTCTGGAGCGCGTTTTTTCGCAAGAATTTAGCTAGCGCCGCGATCCGCCGCCGCGCCGCCGCGTCGCCGCCGCCCGCGCCGCCTGCGCTCGCCGCCGCCTCGCAGACGCCACCTCTCGCGCTCGAAGAGCCGCGCAGCGGGCCGCGAGGTCGAGGTCAAAGAGCAGCCAGGGTGGCGAGGTCATGAAATCATCAAATTTTGAACTTGCCCGAGAGAGCCTGGAAACGGTCCCGAGCCGTAGCCCCGGTGTCGGCGCATCGCCTCTCGGCCGCGAAGGGCCGGCTCCGCCGCTCAGTCGAGCAGCAGGAGCTCTGGGGCAGGTTTGTCGACAAACAAGTTGAGCAAAAAATCGGCGAGGAAGCGGCACCGGCGGCACGCCGGGACGAGCCCGGACCGATCCCATTGTTCAGATCCACGGTGGCGAGCCGCCGCAAGCCCACCGGAGAGCTGGGAGCCGCGGCACTAGACCGCGCCGCCAGCGAGGCGAGAGCTGCAGCCGCCGACCAGCCGACAATGGCAGTTGCAAACATGGCAGTTGCGATGGCGCTTTCACATTGATTGATTGATGGGAAGGCGAAACAGTTCCGACCAACGACTGGGACACCAACGCGGTATGGGTGTGAGACGCTAGACGGGCGATGACGGTCACACAGGAGCGACACACAGAACCACAAGACAAGACACTCAGCCAACGTGCGGCTGCCACACATCCTGAGCGAACTCCCTAGTCGCCCGCGGCCGGACTCCATCCGGCACGCGTCGCTGGGCGCTCAGAGCCGCGTCCCCTGCTCGCCACCCCGACGCCCAAGGCGCCCGAATCGAACGACAGGCGGCACGCGAAGACTGGTTGCAATCCCGCCGACCGCGAGGCCGCGGGATGATGCGTGCGTGGTCTTGTAGTCGGTCTCGGAAGCTCCCCTCTCGGGCTAGGAGCCAGCCCCTCACCCTTGCCCTCGGAACACTGTGCCCGAGTCGAGGCGTGTGCTTGCCGGTCAACGGCCGCGCGCGGTTGGCATTGTGACGAGGGTTGCGCGCGGCCGCGGCGCGCCCGCCATGGTTCGGCGCGGCGCGCCTACCAGCGGCAATTGTCGAGGCACGGGAACGCTTACCCGGGGTCATCCTCTGAGCCTGGTCGTCGGCGCCGCGATGCCACGGCGGCGCATTCGACGTCGTCGGCGCGCTGCCCCGCGTTGAGCCCCGCCGC